CCCAGAGGGGTAGGCAGAGACCACGGACTTCCATTTGACACGATCCTGACATACCTCTTTCGCCTCCTTTACATCCATATATCTACGCATACATGCTCGTCGGTTAAGGGTACTTTTAACGTGGCCCATTTTCAAAATATCGCCAATTTGGTCGATAAACTTTTTTCTAGGGCGTCCCTTCCCGACTCTGCCGTTCACATCTGCCATATAAATTTGTTTTGTCACTCTTTCCTCATTCATTCTTTCTACATGAACAAACCACCGAAGCATTCCTTTCTTAATCCTGGTCACAACATCATCTTGCATACCACATTTATCTCTTATCATGCAATTTCTCATCCTGTCATTCAGATTCAACTCTAGCATACTCCTTAAAGACCGCATTTCTACAGCATTTATTCTACTTTTGTGCTTCTTCTGCCACACCCAGCTTTCACTACCATACATTAAAATAGGGACTAACACAGCATTATGAATTACCATACATGCCTTTTTTGATACGTTTTGGTTCTTCACAATAGAGTGTAGTGCCCCATTCACTCTATTCCCTGCATTTACTCGTCGTTCTATATCCTTATCATATCTACCATCCCTGCTAAATACACATCCCAAATACACAAACTCATCCACTTGCTCAATTAATTCTCCTGCTATTCTTATTTCACATACCATTTTGCTTTCCTCTCTTTCAAAAACCATCACTTTCGTCTTACTTGCGTTCACTTTCATTCCCCTTTCTTTTAATGCCCAGTTCATTAATGTAACCATCATTTGCAACTCAGCCGCCGATGACGCAAATATGACTTGATCATCGATGCAAAAGCACGTTCCCTCTTCATCTTTCAAAGTTTGCAAACACCTGTCCATAAATAGGTTGAACAGCCAAGGGGAAGCCACACAGCCCTGTCTGACACCCTTTCGGATGCCAAACCAGTCCGAGTAGACCCCATTGATCCTGACACAAGCACTAGAATCCCTATAAAGAGACCTCAATGCCTGTATCAAACCAGCGCTCAACCCATATGAGTTCAGTGTTTGCCATAACACATTCCTGTCCACTCTGTCATAAGCCTTTTCCAAGTCCATGAACGCACGAAAATCTTTCTGGTTTTTAGCCAAAAACTTCTCCGCAATCATGCGCATGGAAAAGACTTGATCTGTACACCCCATTCCCTTTCTAAAACCCGCTTGCACATCCCAAATTTTTCCATCAGTTTCTTTCATAACTCTTTCAATTAACACCTTAGCATACAGTTTACCCACAATACTAGGCAAGCTGATACCACGGTAGTTTTTGCAGTCCTGCTGTATATGTATTGATATTAAAACCAACCAGATACAAACAGTACAACCAAGACATTTTTCTTCCCTGGATTATTATTGCGCATATCGCTACTCTTTGCTTAGCGATCGTTAGTTTATTAACTGACTAGCGTACCGCCCCGGCTACGCTTGGGTAGGCTCTATTAATGTGACGTTATTTGGATTTAAGATAATCACATACCATTTACTTTATCAATATTTCATTTATTCAAACAAAATTGGTCGACCCTGCAAGCCATCCCTGGAACTTCCCGCTAATTTCAGTATCAATGGGCTCCAAATTCCACTTATTATGACATATATGAGGTCGAAAGTTTTTTGGAAAACCACGTCTTTTTAGATTTTAAAATTGAATATTTCACGAACAAATCAACCGATTTTGATGTGATTTACGGCAATCGACGCAATTTTTTTAGCTTAACAAAAGTCTGTGTGTCTCTGTGTGTGTAATGTAATTTCTTGGAAAGTTTTCAAGTTATTTTGAAAGAACTCTTTTTCGATATCGAACGATATCTCTCGAACGAATCAATTGATTTTGATGCGGTTCACGGTACAATGGACGCTGTTTTTTGACTAGAAGAGTTGAAAAGTTTATAGAATTGATCAAAACAAGGGTGTCGAAGTAATTTCAAGAAACAACTTTTTGAAAATTTTAATAACTCGATATTTTTAGGTTTCCTCCTCCTCCTCCTCCTCGTCCTCCTGACCACAGCGGCGGATCTGGTCTATGGCTCCGCCGCCAACCAAAATTCGGCTGCGGTAGGTAGGGAGAGCGGTGCCTCGCAATACCGACACTCCTCTGCCCTCGCAGCCCCACCACCACCGCATCAATTAACGGTGCAGCCCCGTCAGAGTCGCGGAGAATAGGGCGAGAGGAGAGAGCGCACCCCTCTCGCCGCAGCCCACCGACACACATCCGAAGTGGGCTAACTAAGCTCACTCGGAGTGGCCTTCTCGGGCCAGCCATGTGGATTCCTCTTAGTTCACCGCGGGTGACCAAGCCACGGCTACAAACCCCCCCCCCCTCGCCATGACAAGGTGACATAGCCCAACGGATTAGTAAGCTGACAACCATTGGGGAAAAAAGGTTCTCGAGTGGCAGCCTCATACCGGTAGGCGAAGTATAGGGTGACCCCCCACTAGATGGAGTGACGACCTGGTAAGACATGCAGGAAGTCGATGAATGCAGGTGGCTCAGGACCGTCCTTTGTGGCATAACTTGGGGGAAGCCTATGTTCAGCAGTGGATTTGTGAAGGGCTATAATGATGATGATGATGATGATGATTCATACTCGTCAACAACTTCGAGCTTAGTCCTCCCAACAACTACCGACATAGGTGTGACATGGACGACGATCTTTGTTTTGTCCAAGTTCATCTTAAGACCTATCCATTGGGAGGAACTATTGAGATCATTGAGCGTAGTGCTTAGGTCCTCCAGCGATTCTTCCATATTAAGGACTATATTGTCCGCAAATCGAAGGTGAGTGATGTACTCGCCATTGACGTTAATACTGTATCTTTTCCAATGCAGCGTTGAAGAGTTTTGGGGATAAAACGCCACCCTGTCTTACACCTCTCTGCAGTTGGATAGGTAACAAAGTACTGGAAATAACAATGTTATAAAGAATATATTGCTTGAAACGTACACATACGCGCAGTTATTTGCCGAGTAGTAATAAGAAATAGGTAAAAATTATAATTGTACGCACTGAGCATTCGTTCGCTCGCTATGAAAATCTGAGTCGTATAAGTGAATTTATTGGTACCGTTACAGCTTATTGCAGTCCACTGCTGAACATGAGGCCCCCTCCTTGGATTGTCACTTGTTCAATATTTCAGCTACAGATGTAGGCATCTGATAATAATAAGACAACGCAGGCTTGACGCAAAAACCATCATCTCATAACTACGCAAGCTGTAATTTCAGTAAATTCGCAGGTAATGGCTCCAAAACCAATTTCAGAATTCGTAATTCTATTACAAGTGTCATTTGCTATCTAGTTACCCTCAGTTTAATGAAGCAGGGCCGGATTTAAGGGTGCCGAGTCCCTGGCTCACTTTAATGACAATAATAATAATAATAATAAATAACTCCTTCATGTTGAAAGGGGAAGGGTTGCTAACTCTGAGGGCATAGATTTATCTATGCCCGTCAACTTAAAGACCCTTTCCGAGGCTGAAACATACCGATACCTGGGTATGTCACAGAACATCGGTATCGATGAGGCTGGTGTGAAACAGTCAGTTTGCGACGTGTTTTATGCACGCTTGACCAAAGTGCTTAACAGCCTTTTGTCCGGTGTGAATAAGACACACGCATATAACGGTTGGGTCATGCCTGTCCTCATATATACCTTTGGCATACTCAGGTGGACTCAGACCGAACTTAACGCCCTGGATAGAAAAGTCCGCACTACCATGACGTCCCATAGGATGCATCATCCGAGATCGTCGGTAATGAGGCTGTACTTGCCGCGAAAGCATGGTGGGCGTGGTTTTATGAGCGCGCTCACCATGCATAATCGCGAAGTGTGCAGCCTCCGTGATTACTTCCTGGCGAGATCGGATGATCCATTCTATAATGACGTCATTTCTAGTGATAAAGGGCTTACCCCTCTATCCTTAGCCCACGAGCAATGGCAGGACCCAGCAGTGCTTAGCATTTCCGACCGGGAGACCGTATGGAAGGAGAAGGAGCTCCACGGGAGGTACTACAGGGCTCTTCATGAGCCCTTCGTAGATACAGTCGCCTCCCTCAACTGGCTACGTTTCGGTGACCTCTTCGGGGAAACCGAGGGTTTTGTCTGTGCAATACAGGATCAGGTTATTAAGACCAACAACTATCGGAGATACATCCTAAAGGATGGCACCGTCGACGTCTGTCGAGCTTGTCGCCATCCCGGTGAATCACTTAGGCATGTTATCTCCGGTTGTTCGGCGCTTTCTAACTCTGAGTACTTGCACAGGCACAACCTAGTAGCCAGAATTCTACACCAGGAGCTCGCTCTGAAATATGGTCTCGTGGACCGGAAATTGCCGTATTACAAGTACTTGCCGGAAGCCGTGCTCGAAAATGACCGCGCCAGGCTCTACTGGGACCGGGCCATCATCACAGACAGGACTATTCTTGCGAATAAGCCTGATATTGTGCTGATGGACCGGGCACAGTCAAGGATATTTTTGGTCGACATTACCATTCCGTATGACGAGAACCTCGTGAAAGCCGAAACAGACAAGCAAACAAAATATCTGGACCTGGCTCACGAGGTGACCGACATGTGGGGTGGTCTGCCGACCGAAATTATTCCTGTAGTCGTCTCTGCAAACGGGCTAATCCCAGTCAGCCTCTCGGGTCATCTGAGGCGACTGGGACTACGTGGCGGACCGCTCCGGGCTCAAATTCAGAAGGCGGTGCTCCTCGATACCGCCCGCATCGTCCGCCGGTTTCTTTCCCTTTCCCCCTAACCCTCGGCCGTTTGGTCTCCCCTGCCGAGGGCCTCCATCTGGTTGGGCTTTTATTTATTTAAGTATTTTTATATTTATTTTATGTTATTGATATTTATGTATATTTATCTTTTCATTCTCATTTATAATTATATATTTATAGAACCCAACCAGATGAGAAAACTATATAGATACCCCATAATAATAATAATATATAATAAACCGTTAGAATGGCGTTTGCTGGGACAAATATCAGTTTGTCCCAGCCGGATATCACGCAGAAACTAACGAAGCGCATAGACGACCTGAAGCAAAAGATTGCCGCTTGGGGGAAGCGGATTCGCCGATTTACCGAGAGGTCAAGGCGGTTCAACCAGAATCGTCTCTTCCAGAGTGATCAGAAGAGGCTCTACAAATCATTGGAGCGACCAGAGGTATGTGGAGCGGGCCCAGGACCGGATCAGGCTAACACTGTCGCATTTTGGCGTGGCTTGTGGTCAGAGCCCGTAAACCACAGCGAGGGCCCTTGGACGGAAGTTGTGGCGAGTCAGTGTGCGAGTATTACGCCCATGGACCCCGTCATCATAACGCCGGATGACGTAGCTGAGGCGGTCCGTAGAGCCCCGAACTGGAAAAGTCCGGGACTCGACGGACTGCATCACTACTGGCTGAAGGGGTTCACGGTGTGTCACGCTGTGCTCGCCCGTCAGTTTCAAGAGGCTCTCAACCAGAAGTCGCTCCCTAGCCTCTTCACTACTGGGATCACTCATTTGGTTCCTAAAGACCAGGTTACCACAGACCCGAGCAAATACCGCCCCATCACGTGTCTACCCACCATATATAAGACACTGACATCCATTTTGAGCGCGAGAATCACTCGTCACCTGGAGCTAAATCAGGTGATGTCACGCGCTCAAAATGGATGTCGGGGCGGTGGTCGTGGAACTAAGGAACCACTCCTCATTGACGCGGTCATTGGTAAAGTGGTGAAACGCAACCGTCGGAACTTCTCCGCCGCCTGGATAGACTACAGAAAGGCATTCGACTCGGTGCCCCATACATGGCTAAAGAGAGTCCTCGAGCTGTACAAGATAGACTGTACAGTGAGAGACTTCCTCGAGCAGTGTATGGGGCAGTGGAGTACGATCCTTTGTCATCTGGGTGAGCGGATGATGGCTGCGGAGAACCACATAAGGATAAGAAGAGGTATCTTCCAGGGCGATTGTCTGAGTCCAATCTGGTTCTGCCTCTCCCTGAACCCTCTCAGTACCTTACTGGAGGGATCCGGGAGAGGATTTCAGCTACGGAAAGGAGGGACAAAAGTGACCCACCTTTTCTATATGGATGACCTCAAGTTATTCGCCTCCAGTCGCTCCCATCTTATAGAATTGCTAAACATCACTTGTGAATTTAGCAATTCTATTAGAATGGAGCTGGGGACGGATAAGTGTGCGGTCCTCCATGTTGAAAGGGGAAGGGTTGCTAACTCTGAGGGCATAGACTTATCTATGCCCGTCAACTTAAGGGCCCTTTCCGAGGCTGAAACATACCGATACCTGGGTATGTCACAGAACATTGGTATCGATGAGGCTGGTATGAAACAGTCAGTTTGCGACGTGTTTTATGCACGCTTGACCAAAGTGCTTAATAGCCTTTTGTCCGGTGTGAATAAGACACACGCATATAACGGTTGGGTCATGCCTGTCCTTATGTATACCTTTGGCATACTCAGGTGGACTCAGACTGAACTTAACGCCCTGGATAGAAAAGTCCGCACTACCATGACGTCCCATAGGATGCATCATCCGAGATCGTCGGTAATGAGGCTGTACTTGCCGCGAAAGCATGGTGGGCGTGGCTTTCTAAGCGCGCTCACTATGCATAATCGTGAAGTGTGCAGCCTCCGTCATTACTTCCTGGCGAGATCGGATGATCCATTCTATAATGACGTCATTTCTAGTGATAAAGGGCTTACCCCTCTATCCTTGGCCAACGAGCAATGGCAGGACCCAGCAGTGCTTAGCATTTCCGACCGGGAGACCGTATGGAAGGAGAAGGAGCTCCACGGGAGGTACTACAGGGCCTCTACATGAGCCCTTCGTAGATACAGTCGCCTCCCTCAACTGGCTACGTTTCGGTGACCTCTTCGGGGGAAACCGAGGGTTTTGTCTGTGCAATACAGGATCAGGTTATTAAGACCAACAACTATCGGAGATACATCCTAAAGGATGGCACCGTCGACGTCTGTCGAGCTTGTCGCCATCCCGGGGAGTCACTTAGACATGTCATCTCCGGTTGTTCGGCGCTTTCTAACTCTGAGTACTTGCACAGGCACAACCTAGTAGCCAGAATTCTACACCAGGCGCTCGCTCTGAAATACGGTCTCGTGGACCGGAAATTGCCGTATTACAAGTACTTGCCGGAAGCCGTGCTCGAAAATGACCGCGCCAGGCTCTACTGGGACCGGGCCATCATCACAGACAGGACTATTCTTGCAAATAAGCCTGATATTGTGCTGATGGACCGGGCACAGTCAAGGATATTTTTAGTCGACGTTACCATTCCGTATGACGAGAACCTCGTGAAAGCCGAAACAGATAAGCAAACAAAATATCTGGACCTGGCTCACGAGGTGACCGACATGTGGGGTGGTCTGCCGACCGAAATTATTCCTGTAGTCGGCTCTGCAAACGGGCTAATCCCAGTCAGCCTCTCGGGTCATCTGAGGCGACTGGGACTCCGTGACGGACCGCTCCGGGCTCAAATGCAGAACGCAGTGGTCCTCGATACCGCCCGCATCGTCCGTCGGTTTCTTTCCCTTTCCCCCTAACCCTCGGCCGTTTGGTCTCCCCTGCCGAGGGCTTCCATCTGGTTGGATCTTTATTTATTTGTGTATTTTTTGTATTTATTTTATTTTATTGATATTTATGTATATTTATCTTTTCATTTTAATTTATAATTATATATTTATAGAAACCAACCAGATGAGAAAACTATACAGATACCCCAAAAATAATAATAAAATTTATTTCAGTTTTAGTTCAGAATTGGTTTACAGACATTAGTGGCCGGATTCTCCTTTTAAGCAAATAATGCCTGTACCAGGTGAATCCGCTCTTCCATATCAATATCTATATATTATATTATATACATTATGAAATATGACATTACAAAGAAAAACTTAAAGACTAAAAGGGAGTATTTACAGTTTTTTTTCTCCTCATATATGATATTTGTTATATGTATGCGAAAGCGTGCGTGTGTGTGTGTGTGTGTGTGTGTGTGTGTGTGTGTGTGCGTGCGTGCGTGCGTGCGTGCGTGCGTGCGTGCGTGCGTGCGTGCGTGCGTGCGTGCGTGCGTGCGTGCGTGCGTGCGTGCGTGCGTGCGTGCGTGCGTGCGTGCGTGCGTGCGTGCGTGCGTGCGTGCGTGCGTGCGTGCGTGCGTGCGTGCGTGCGTGCGTGCGTGCGTGCGTGCGTGCGTGCGTGCGTGCGTGCGTGCGTGCGTGCGTGCTTGCGTGCGTGCGTGCGTGCGTGCGTGCGTGCGTGCGTGCGTGCGTGCGTGCGTGCGTGCGTGCGTGCGTGCGTGCGTGCGTGCGTGCGTGCGTGCGTGCGTGCGTGCGTGCGTGCGTGCGTGCGTGCGTGCGTGCGTGCGTGCGTGCGTGCGTGCGTGCGTGCGTGCGTGCGTGCGTGCGTGCGTGCGTGCGTGCGTGCGTGCGTGCGTGCGTGCGTGCGTGCGTGCGTGCGTGCGTGCGTGCGTGCTTGCGTGCGTACGTGCGTGCGTCGTGTGTGTGTGTGTGTGTGTGTGTGTGTGTGCGTGCGCGTGTGCGCGCGTGTGCGCGTGCAAACTTTGAAGTGAAACCTTGAGTAATTTTCCAAACCAGACAATTTGATATCACTTAATTTTATTTTATATGTATAGCATAGTAGTAGTTATTAAATTTAACAACTGTAGTGTTTTAGAAAACGATCGTAAAACGTATACTCTGGCACTTGACCACTATAGAATCTCATTTGCATGTTTATTCTAGGGCTATATATTTATTTCATACCAGATTTTTAGCGTGACTTCATCGGCATGGAATTTACTATGATTGGATTTCATGACTTTTATTTTTTTAAACTTTAAGAATCGAGTATAGGTTCTTATTACTCGATTTTTAAAGTTAAATTAGCCTAGTGTACATATAACCATCTATCTGCCAGTGAAAAACCCTTCAAAACAGGTCCAAGAATTCGAAAATTAGCTGAAACAAACTGACGGACCAAAATGTTGAAAATCATTTTAATAATTTCATATGCATTTAGTAAAAAGCTGTTATTTTGACACTACAAACATAGACCCAAACTTTGTTTATTTGTATTGTTTACTTCATAAGTATGTAATTACTGAAATATGGCGTAACTGAAATCCTTTACTCAGATATTGAGTCCGCCATCAGTAATATGAGATTATCACGGTAACCTTTCTCGAGTCTTTATGAGCCTTTTCAAATGAGTCCAAACACAGTGGTTCTATGTAGTGCTGTCACTGAGATTCTAAACTTACCTTCAGCTTCCGCCATAAGGAAGGTGAAATCATCCAGGTCTTTATGAGTACCTTTCGAATGAATCCAAACACAAAGGTTCTATGTAGTGACGTCACTGAGATCTTTTAAACCCATCTTCTGGGTCCACCATCAGCTGGGTGATATCATCACAGTCATCTAGGTCTTCACGAAAATTTTTGAAAATGAGTTGGAAAAAACGATGGTTCCACGTAGCATCACTGAGATCCTTTACCAACCTTCTGAGTCAATCATCAGGAAGGTGACATCATCACAGTCACCTTACTCTCCATCCTCCGTCAAACTAAACTCTCTAAATATATAAAATAATAAAAAATATAAACATCATAGAAATAATGTAGGTAGCTTCTAAGAAAATAAGTAATTATTAGTAATATAAAGATCATGTTTAATGTCCATGTCACACCTATGCCGGTAGTTGTTGGGAGCACTATGCTCGAAGTTGTTGACGAGTACGTTTACCTGGGACAAATAGTCCGACTAGGTAAGTCTAACTTCGACCAAGAGGTCAATCGACGGATTCAACTCGGCTGGGCAGCGTTCGGGAAATTACGACACATCTTCTCGTCAGGTATACCTCAATCTCTGAAAACTAAAGTGTATAACCAGTGCGTGTTGCCAGTGATGACTTACGGATCTGAGACGTGGTCCTTCACGGCTGGCCGTATGAGGACGCTCAAGGTCGCTCAGCGAGCTATGGAGAGGGCTATGCTCGGAGTTTCACTGCGTGATAGACTCAGAAATGAGGATATCCGCAGTAAAACCAGAGTGACCGACATAGCCCAACGGATTAGTAAGCTGAAGTGGCAATGGGCCGGCCATATAGCTCGAAGAACCGATAACCGATGGGGAAGAAAGGTTCTCGAGTGGCAGCCTCGTACCGGTAGGCGTAGTGTAGGGCGACCCCCCACTAGATGGAGTGACGACCTGGTAAGACATGCAGGAAGTCGATGGATACAGGTGGCTCAGGACCGTGCTTTGTGGCATTACTTGGGTGAGGCCTATGTTCAGCAGTGGACTTGTGAAGGGCTGTAATGATGATGATGATGAAACGAACTGAAACCAGAGGATTACGGTGCGCCCGGAAAACTGCAATCACGATCAGTTTTTTGGATTTAAGTCAGTTCGAATAAGTAGTTTCAACTGACAGTACGACCGAAACAATCCGTGGGTTGTCGTCAGTTGAAAATTTCAACCTAAGATTCCACACTCATGGTCAATTTT